TTTCTGTTAACATAAGTCAAACTTGTCCTGCCCACAACCGTTAGCTCATATTTGCTGAGCTGCTCTTTCTGCCATCTTTTTCTTTCTCTTACACCTGCCTTATACTATTTCTTAAACTATCTCATTCTACGCAATATGCTTTGGCCTCAGAGCTGGGATTAAATGGTAGGTATAGAACCAGGTCTAGCAGCTCTGCAACTTGAACTTTGAATGACTAAAGTGTACCCAGGGAAGGAAATACACAGTATATTCAAGGTAAACTGTGGATTCATAGCGAAAATAATTAATACTGGGGAAGAAAATTAGTGGATTGAAAGATATTAAAGTTACTCTGCTGAAATGCTTTTAGGTTAAATAATATATTCTGAAAAGTCACTTTTGTTCTATGATAAGGTGGGAGCTATATGTTAATTTCTTTTATTCCTGGATCATTTTCTCTCTGAGGTGTCATCGGTTGAATTTTCAGTACTATGTTGAAATGAATATTCATCACTGAGTTACAGCTTTTGAAAGATCTGCAGGGAACGAGGAAAAAAACCAAACCCAAGCCCTTTTCCTTCCCCCTCGTTCTGCAGCTCTGAACATGCACAGCTCCCTCTGGTTAGCAAAGCAGCACGCAGCATCCGTGTGCTCCTGGGCACTGTCTTGGAGCTCTCCAGGTGTCCCCCAACAGGTACCGCTGGGCACCTCAGGAGAGTTAAACACAAGCGTAAGAGTTTGCAGGGTTGGGGGGTGCAGGAACAATGGGGAGAAATAGCATCCCACTGGTTGCATAGCACACTTGAGCTGGTGGCAAGAGGGGTGGTTCAGGTGCTCCTTCATGGAAGCGAGGGTGCTTGAGCTCATCGCAGGTGGTTGGTGCCTGTTTTTTGGAGGTGGAGTGGTTACAAAGCAGCTTTGGGCTGCTGTGAGCGGAAGCACAGGTAAGCAGAGTAAATCATGTTTTCAAAAGCCCTACAAGCACAGATAAAACCTGTATAAAATCTGAAAAATGGGCAAAATGGCATTAGAGAGTGCGTGAAATTGTGTGGGTATCAGACACAGGGGGCAGGAAGTTTAGGAAATAATGAAATATGGGGTAAATTAAAGCATTGCTCACAATGATATAGAACCATAGAATCATAGAATGGTTTAGGTTGGAAAGGACCTTGAAGATCATCGAGTTCCAACCTCCCTGCCACGGGCAGGGACACCTCCCACTACACCAGGTTGCCCAAGGCCACGTCCAGCCTGGCCTTGAACACCTCCAGGGATGGGGCCTCAACAACCTCTCTGGGCAACCTGTTCCAGTGCCTCACCACCCTCAAAGTGAAAAACTTCTCCCTAATGTTTAATCTAAACCTGCCCTCTTCCAGTTTATAGCCATTCCCCCTTGTCCTATCGCTACATGCCCTAGTAAAAAGTCCTTCCCCAGCTCTCCTGTAGGCCCCTTTAGGTACTGGAAGGCCGCAATAAGATCTCCCTGGAGCCTTCTCTTCTTCAGGCTGAACGGTCCCAACTCTCTCAGCCTCTCTTCGTAGGAGAGATATACAGCTCTCACTGCTGAACAGAGTGGTTTGAAAATCTGATAGATAAAATGGAGTAATAAGGTGAATCTCTTGGCTAACAAGACAGGAGCTTTTCACCAACGCGCTCTTTAAAAGGTGTGTTTTAAAAGCAATCTCAATGGGCTGTAGAACAATACTGCAATAAATTGCACAAGGGATTTGCAATTTACAAACAAGGGGAAACAACTTTCAAAAGGGTGAAACTGGGATGCTGCACCTAAACCCTACTGAAAGCCCAAGAGATGGAGCCTCTGCATGGCTCTCAGTTCCTGCTGCTTCCACTGCGATCAGTGAAATGCTCTCGATGGGACGTATGGTGTTTATTTAGAAATAAAATTGCCATGATGTTAAGAACACTTCTGAACTTTTTAAATCTTAACACAAATCCTTCACATTCTGTCTCAATGATGGTACATGGATTTTTGAGCTCAGTAGATAATAAAAAGGCTGCATTTAGTGCCACACAGTGGTAAAAAAAATAATTTCAGCAAGGACAGATATGAAGCAACGCAGAGGAAACCTTTTAGATGCTAATGATAAACTTGGAAAAGGAAAAATACATTTAAAAAAAAATTAGGATACACAATCAGCTCGTGACAGGTATCACCTAAATTTCCTCACCCAAGGATGGTTTATACCACTAGCTAGCTAGATATGCAATATATGAAATTTACCTCTGTAATTTATAATCAACTTCCTTTGCAGTAAGGAGAATGCTTTGCTCATTTATAGCCTTCACAAAATAGTGAGGGATGCAATACTGGAATCTGCCAGCCCTTGCAGGCGATGAGCTGCACAGCAGTCATCGGGCAGGGACATACAGGATTGGAGCTGTAAAGGTATCTCAAACAACTGAAATAATATGGGGTAATCTCTGAAAAAAAGGCTAATTTGGGGTCCTTGGATTGGGAAGACTTTTGCACATTTCCATATGTAGTAGTTTTCTTGCTCAGGTTGCCAATAAAGCCAGTAATGTAACTTCTGCAATTATCATATATGTCACGGAATTTATTTCTGGCCATCAGCAACCCTCTGAGTGTTGCTCAGTGTGGTTTTGTGCCACACTGTCATGCCACAAGGATTTGGGGACAAGAAGGCAGACCCCTGCTCAAAATGGTCTGTTGCATGAGCTCAGTCTGTAGCAGCGCTGGACCCTTTTGGCAGGGGACAGGCGTGCTCGCACAGGCATGCAGACACACAGCCACACGCTTTCTCTTTTTGGAGCAGTCTCTTGCACACAGATACTAATTTACAAAGTCTGTTAGAGAATGAGGAATCGTTGATCATGAGTTTGTTGTTGTATGTCTACGCTAAGGTGGGAATCCGTTCTCAGCAAGGTGCCAGGGAGAAGGCATGAACATGGGCCACACTCACTAGTTTCCAGTTGCATTTTAACTGTGGTCTCTGATTTAATGGTGACCACAGGCTAACAGCACCCACTGCAGTGCCCTTTGCAGCTGCACCAGCAAGTTGCTTCCATTCATAGCCATCGTGGCTCCAACGCTTCTTGGGGACCCCTCTGTGGGCATCTGGGCCGGGTATGGTGCTGGTGGGCACGCCAGCCACACGCAGCGTGAGGAGGGGAGGGAGGCTCTGAGGTCTTACTGGGGTTGGGCAGCTCTGGTGGGGACAGAGCAACCATCAACAAGGGAAGCCCAGGCCCTGGGTCGCGGTGCCTTGGTCCAACCCAACAGTGGCAGGGCGGAGAGGAGCAGAGCCTTTCCCGAAGCAGCCGGCAGTCACATCCATCAAAGGACTTTGGGACACTGCACACTTGGTATTAGGAAAAAGGTTTTAAGTGGTGTTTAGTCCATTTAGTCAGTCCAGCCAAACTGGAGAACAAAATGTGGCTAAATGGAAGGACAGTTGTAACACTTAAAACAGGCTGAAATAATCAAATAGGCCCCAAAAGATGAAAATTCATCGTGAAAAAGATGAGTACGCTTAAACATATGTGTGCTTATACACAGTTACGAATGGGTCAAACTTGTGGCTTAACTTCAGACCCGGAAAATGCAGTGAAACTAAGTTCTTGGTCCAGTTCCAGGTATGTGACTTGACTGGTTAGCTCATTGTACCGGGCTTCAGCAGTAAGAGGAAAATGTTTTTGCAGTTAAAGCTGTGCTCTGCAGCTACAGAGCTCTCATTCCTACGTCTGCTGTGCAGCATGATCTCTAGTCGGAGCTGGAATGCTGCGCAAAAACATTGCACAGCTGCACGGGGAGTTGCAGCCCCTCTACCTGCCCAGCAGTTTGCACATGCAGTCAGACAGGGAATGACCTGACTCTTGGCATAAGATGGGAATAGCACTAAACAGGACCATTCTGAAAATCGAGGCACTAAAATTGATTGGAAGTATTTAAAAGATGTGTAAAACGTAGTGCTTAGGGACATGGTTTAGTGGTGGTGTTGGCAGTGTTAGGTTGATGATTGGACTAGATGATCTTACAGGTCCCTTCCAACCTAGAAAATTCTATGATTCTGTGATGTTTTTTTGCAGCTTGCAACAGGATGCTCGCCTGCAGTGTGCTCCAAAATAGCACTTGGTTCAGTCTTGCTCCAGCTGCAGAGTCACAGCTGATGCCTGTTGCCTGATCTACTGAAAGCAAACTCTTCCAGCCCTCTGCACAGATGTTTTTTAGGTAAAGAAGCAAGAACTGCTGTCATTAGTCATGCCTTATGCAGAAATATTATGGCATGCTATCTGGGGGGTATTTAAATTTGTTTGATATAAAATGATTACAGCATGCAACCCAACATTGCCAATGGTATAGTAATACCATATTGGTAGAAAAGCCTTGTCATGTTATAGGCAGTAAATCCATCTGAGCTGGGTGAGGTGGTTCACCAGCACATAAAATTGCACAGAATTCTCTATGCTGAAAAAAAAAAAAGTGTTTGTGTTCGTTTTGTTTTGATTTGTTTTGTTTTTTAACCAAGAAGGAGCATACATGGCAGCCCTGCAACAACCACACAGCTGAGGGTACCAAACAGGCCCAAAAGCGGTCCCTGTGAGACCCGTCCCGTACAGCTGTGGTGGCACATGTGTGGCTTTAGGCTGCAGTCTCCACCGGCTGAAGCCTGGCAGGCTGCAGCCCAGAGATGCTGCTGTACAAAAGCAGCCTCCAGCTGACTCAGGGCTCCAGCAGCATTTACCCTTGTGCGGCCTCTGCCCTGGGAGGAATATTGGGCCTTTTGGCTAAGAACAGAATTTTAAAAAGCAGAGAATGATAGAAAATACTCAGTGAGAGTTATTGGGAGCTGCTAAGCCCAAGCTCTTCCACAAAGGAGCAGAAATTAACATTCAAGACAGGGAAGGAAGCACAGTAAGATTTATTTTTACTGCCCAGCACGCTTGTAAACTGCATAGTGGTACATGGAAGAAGTGAAGGGATCCATACTACTAGCATATGGAGCGCAGGCAAAGACGGCTTCTTGTGAGCAGTTTGACAATTATTTGGCTGCTTGCTGCTCAAAATATTCGTGACAGCAGCAAGTCAGAGCTGCCACAAAGATGACAAATTCCTTGAAGTCCACTTGGGAATCGCCATTTTCATCCAGGTCCTTGAAGACTTTATCAATGGCGTCCTTGTCCTTCCCTGACTGCAAAAGAAAAGGAGCGGGTTGAGGTGAGAGGCGGTACAACCCTAACGCAGTGTCATAACTACCTGTACCCCCAACAAGGGCCCTGGTGGGGCTCTGGGCACTAAACAGGGGACTGTGAGGCTGACGCCAGCTCGGGCACGTTGTACCTTTCCGTGGGAGTGTGATGGAGGTGTAGCACGCAGCCTTGCCGTAGGGCTGCCTGGAGTGTCAGGTTATCACGTTTTTCTGCTAGTGAGACCTTTTTTTTTTATTATTCTCTTTGCTCGTTTAGTGCATCATATCTCTGGGTATAAAGCTGTGAGTTCCTTTGCACCGTGTTGGGCTGAGACAACTGCTCAGTGCCCAAGGGTGACAAGGGTCACATCCCCAGGGAGCTGTACCTTCGCCTGCCCATCTGGGCCGGAGCCACACGTCTCCTCCTCCAGCTGCCTGAAGAAAGAAGCACATCCTTCCCACGGGAATTTGCACCCCTGCTGGGGTCAGGCCTAAGCATGTGGGGAGCAAGCAGAGGTTGGGGGGGCTCTGGGTGACAGTGGGGGCAAGTGTGAGTCCCGGCATTGTCATGGCATGGGTGCAGACCTGCATCTTCCCACCTTCTGCACAGCAGCAGTGACCACATCTCCCGCCACCCCTCAAGCAGGTGCTCCCGGGTTTATTACACCTGGGAGCTGTGGTCATGCGCTGGCGTGGAAAGCCATGTTTTCTATGCTTAAAACAACATTTATCATGGCTCAGCTGTGTAGTGCAACTACAGGACGTTACCCAGCTGAACCGTGATGCTGTGAGTTCCCCATCCTCTCCCATGGAAAGGCTCCGCTGGGGCTCGGACTGGTTCTGCAAAATGATGCATTCCTGGGGCAAATGTCAGATTTAAGCTTCATTAAGCACTGCCACCCCAGCAAAGATGCAAACAGCCTCAAAAGTGCTCCAAGTGCTCCCTCTGGCCTTGGTGCCCGGCACAAGCCGGAGCCAGAGTCCTGGAAGGCACCTCCTGAAGCAAGCGTGATGCTGAGCTTGAGTTACGGCAGCGAAAAATATCAGCAATATCTTTTTCTTTTTAAGTTGCCATAATTCTGAGGGGCTGACTGAACCAGTCCATCTTAAGGCTGATGTTAAGCGAAGTAACAGCCAAGGAAAAAGAGATTATTTTTTTTTATTATTTTGCCATAATAAATAAAAAAAGAAGGTTGGTTTTTTTTTTTCTTAAAGTATCTTACAGGAGGGCTTTTTGGCTTGAGTCCCAGCACTGATTAACTCCGGTGATTTTAGATAACGCAGTTTTAAAAATAAACAAGGGATGGCAGTAGAGACCCATCTAATGTAGGAGACAACACCGTGTGTTTTGTTGAAGCTAAACAGAAAACAAATCCAGTATTATACTAGGAAGAAAGCGTATAAAATTTTGGAAAATTTCCAGGAATTTAAAATAACGGCTACCTTAGTTGAAATCTGATGGCACTTCTTGATCATGGTCTAATTGACTAAATTTCTCGTTCTGTAATTTCATGTTTCACTTTAAATATGTGCACTTTTAAAATCACTAAAAATTGAACCACTGCCCTAGATTTGACTGATGAATGGGTCTGGAAGAATTTATTCCTTTTCACTTCGTAAATTACAATCAGTTTTAATTTTATAAGTGAATATTCCAAGTTATTTAGTGAAATATATGAACTAGCCTTAGCCTCTGATTTACTTCTCACATGCACATGTGGGAATTATTTTTTTGCAAACTTTGAGTCCAATCCTTCAGTCCTGTGGTATGGATTTGTTTCTGCCTCTGATTGATTCAAGGCCTTTCCAGGTAGTTGTGAGCTGTGTCACCAATTCTAAGACCAGAAATATATACGAGTATTTAAAAGACTCTGTTTCCCAGAACATTCTTGCAAATAAAAAAATATCGATATAAATGTCAGTAAAATGTTCTGCAGGTAAAACTTTTTTTCTGAAGGCAGATTTATTTTCTCTTTTTTTTTTTCCTTGCAGTTAGTAGTCTGCAAGTCAAGACAGTGTTGGTTTAAATTTAAGTACCGGCATAAAATGCTATTTTGTGGTTTGTTTTTTTTCTGTAATGGGTAAAATGGGACAAGAAATCCAGAGACAGAGAATAGAACATAAGAGGACATTCAGCTAATTATTTCCCTGGAAAATTCCAGTTTTTCCATCAGTTTCAGGAAATAAGTAGAACCAGTAAGAGCAGCTGTAGGGAACTGGAAAAGGTGGTGCCTGGTCAGTAACTGTAGTCAGGAACATCATCCCATTTGGTAGGTGCCCAGTGCAGCAGGTCCCCAACTGTTTTTAAACCAAATCTCAAGCTTCTGGGAGATTTCCATGCCCTGTTAAAATTGTGGGTTTGAGATTGGTTTTGTTTTGGTTTTTCTTTTCTTTACGTGGAAGTGTTACAAGTAACGTACAGCCCCATGACCTCCTATGGTACTGTTGGGTCACAACCGATGATCTGTTTTCTAGAGTTTTTTCAGAGCCATTTTCATCTGTCCCCCCAGAGCCATCCAGGCTCTTATTCTGAATATTGCATCTGTGTTTTATTTGTGAGTCATAAATCCAGCAGGCCTGGATTTCATACGGTGATTTCATATAGCTTGCATGGGAAGATCCTAAATAGTATCAAGTGCCCTGGCTGCAGGGCCCTGGAAGAGTTGTTAAAAAACTGAATTATGCTGGAGACAAAAAGTGGTAACCACATTTGGAACATTTGGTTCTAGGCTTTTGCAATTAAGACCAATAACTGTACGGATAGATAAACGTTACTCCTGTGTGGAAAGAAAAAGACATTTAAAAGTGTTTTCTGGATTTTTAGTGAAGGGAAGCAAATAAAAAACAATTGAAAATGAAAAGCGTTTTGTCTCGCAGGCAGCTAAAGCTTTTACTACAATGTGTTAAGCATTTTGAATACCTACTAACAGATATGAAATACATATACATAAAACCTACTTACATGCATATGATGATTACATACAAATCTATGTTGTAAAATACTTTTTCAGGTCTTTCTTTTACTATTAAAGACAAATGGAAAACTGTTTGCTCTGAGTTCATCTGTTGTTCTTGTTTATGCATCATTTTGATGAGCAGCCCCAGTATGTAGTATAAATACCGAGAGAAAGTAAGTGTACAAATATTTAGAGAGACTCCCTGTCTGCAATCAAGATCTTCGATTGCTGACAACATAAGTACCTTCACAGAAGTTGTGACATGAAACGAGCTTATAAATCCAGGGATAAACAGAAGAAGTAGGTGAATTCTGAAGATGAAGCTCAATCTATTTCAAAGCCATTGAATAATGGCTCAATAACTCGAGTGATGAATTTTGTGAACAGGGAATGCCCCTGAGTATTAGAAACGGTTTTACACAGTATGTGTAAAGACTTCTTTATTTAAAATTTTTCTACAAACCATTGCCCCATTTCCGGATGTAATTTCCCCTGTAATGTCCTAAAGCCCGTGCCTGCAGGCAGCCCTCACACCCGCTACCCAGAAATGATGCCGCACTGTTCTCTTACCAAGAGGAAGTTTGGGAACTCTTTTTCCAGGAGGGTCTTTAGTTCTGCTTTGGTGAGGGTTCGCCTGTTGCCATCAGTCTTTGCGTACTTGTCAAAGACAGCAATGGTCATTGCCATCGCAGTTTCCAGCTGAGACATGTTGCTGCTGGAGTCTGGCTTTCTTCTGAACAGGAACAGCCTCAGGGCTCTCTCGGAGGCTGGAGACTGGGCTCATTCTGGGGTTCTTTATGCAACTGTCCCATCCAATCAATGGTGGCACACCAGAGGTACGGTTATCCCTTAGCAAACATCCGTATCTAAGCACCACCTGGAGTACACACCTGTGTGCAGACAGCTATTAAAAACTCAAGCTTTATCATGCTGGTGCGGCTGGTACAACCAGTTGCTCACCAGTAGAAACCAGCCTCTCCTTCAAGATACACAGTGTGACTAACAAACGAAAATCAGATTTTGATACTGTTTGCTCAAGAATCAGACTTGTTCTTTCAGATAACCCCATCGGAGCAGAGGGTCAATAGCCCAGCTTCGCTGGAGCATATGCTAGCCTGCTTGGGAGGAAGAGAAGCACCTCACTTCTTCACTACCATAGTTAGGGGCTCTGCGAGGTGCTGAGCCAAGAGCACAGACTGCCCTCTCTGCCATGCAGAGGACCTTGTTGCAGACCAGGTGGCTCACTAGCACATGCTGGGAGTGGGATTCACTGGATCAAAAGTAGAGGTCTGCGATGGAGACAGCTAACTTGCTCCCCAGGCTTGCACTCAGTCCAGAGTGG